TCTGCTGGGTTGCCTATCTATAAATAGCCGGCCTCTTTTCGTCCATTCCCTTCCTCCCCAGCAGATGAACACCAGTTCTTCTCATCTCCTTTTCTAGTCCTTGTTTCTTTTTTCGCCAATACAATCTCTTGTCGCCTATCACACTCGCCCTGTCTTCTCTACTTCGCTTCCGCCCCCGTTGTCGAGATCATAACAAGCATTTTGGATGACATATATTCTCCACCGTTATCACAGCGCAACTCTTTGATCTTTCCATTGCAGTGGCGCTCGGCGTACGCTTTGAACTCTCTCCATTTCTGGTGTACTTCGCTTTTGTTTTTCAAGATATAGACTACTGACCATCTTGAAAATTTGTCAATAAACAAAAGAATGTACCGCTTTGCGTTAAATGACTTCATTTTAGGACCAAGGTCCAAGACGTCTAAGTGAATCCTGTCCAGTAATCTGGTTGCAGGCCGGGGGTTTTGCCCACTGAAGGGCTTCCGTGTTTGTTTTCCTTTCTGGCAGCCAACACATAGCTGTGCGGGTTCGTCTTTGTGGCTGGTGTCGAGTTCGAAGTCATACTCTAAACTCGCAGCTTGAAGCGCTTTCGATCCGTTATGTCCAAAACGCTGGTGCCATAGTTTACTGACGTTGCAGTCTTGAGCTTTCCCTCAAGTGCCATTACAAACGCTTCAGGTTCCGCTTCGACATATCCCTTCAAGAATGGAAGTCTTCCATTATGGGTCACCCTCAAAACGCCTGCCCCATCTCGTCTAATTTCAGCATCTCCTCTTCGAAGTTGAATGTTGTAGCCCTCGTCAATTAACGGTGCAGTACTGCAGAGATTCCTATGCGCACTAGGCACGTAGAGTTTGTTCCGCAGAGTAATGTGTTTGTCCGGTTCTTCATTGTTGAAGACCCGGATGGTTCCAGATTTCTGGGCTTCAATGGTTTGGCCATTGGCCACTGTAACGGTGACCGGTGCGATTGAATGAAGCTCTTCAAACATGAACTTATCTTTGACAACATGATGGGTTGCGCACGAATCCAGGGCGATGCTGTGGTCAGCACCTCGGTCCGTCGCAAGTACCAGGTTTGCCTCCGCTTCTGATTTCTGCTTATCTTTTCCAAGCAGCTGTTGCGCTGCCTCGATCTTCGGGCACGTTGTTACCCAATGTCCAAGTTCCCCACATAATTTGCACGGGAACCGTTCAAAACGAGATCCACCACCTCTTTGGGCACCTCCACGTCCACGGCCTCTACCTCGGTTTCCTCCACGACGAGAGTTATCCGAATTATTCTCTTTCTTCTTTGAGTTCTGCTTGCGCTTATCAGACGACTCTGACGACTGTTGCGCTTCGGCATCACTAGCTTCCGCTGATCTGGGACGTGAGTTGCGGGTGGGGCAATCAAGCGCTCCCATCATCTGCTCTTGCCGTGTAGCAGCTTCCTGCATGGCATCCAGGTTCGGTAATTCTTTACTGATAATTGCGGAATAGATGGGTCGTTTTAATCCCTTGAGGTATCTATGTTCCACGTTCTCTTTGGATGAATCCGGGATTCTGCATAACTAAGCGGTTTAATGCTGCATTATATGCGATAACAGAATGAGTCTGTTTCAACCCATCGAGTTTATCCCGTATCAATGTGCCGTAGGCAGGTGGAATAAACCCCTTCTCCAACGCTGCCTTCAATTCCATCCAGGTTGTTGGGACCTCAGCCCTTTTTTCTCCAGCGAAGGTCCGCCACCAGATATCTGCGGTCGATGTGAATTTACTGGTGACTATGGCGATTTCGATGTGCAGGGGTAAATCCACCGTATAGATGTAATTTTGAACCTTTCTGATAAACTCATAGAGAGCTTGCGGTTTCCCCATGTCCCCGTCGTACTTTGGAATCTCCTTCAACAACTGATTGGTTACGAATAAGACATTCGCCTCAGACGTGGTACTGTGTGTAGGTGACGCATATCTCTTCGTTGGAAGAACCTCTGGTGGAAGAACACCTTCCCCGAACCCTAGTGCTTCCTTTTCCTGCGCTGCTTGCATCTGAGAGGTTTGCATCTGCAGAAAGACCTTCAAGATCGCGTTCTGAGCTTCTCTCTGTTCACGGAGCTCGTTCTCCAACAACTCCAGCCTGTATGCAGCCTCGTTCTTCTCATCAACTTCCGCCGGCTCTTGAAGCACCGCTTCTACTGTTTCGTTGTGCTCCGCCTCAGCTCTTACTGCAGAGCTTGCCTCTTCGGCGCGGGCGCGTGTCGGAATTGGGCTTAGTCTGTCTATATGTCTGAAGGCCATGGCGGTTTTTCGTGTTGGCTTAACGAGTTTGCGATACGATCCTTACTGCTTCGTTTCGGCTCCGCAAACAGGGCTCATAACCTATTAAGTGATTACTGGGAAGTAGCCGATGAAGAGTAGAACCATTACTGGTCTTAATGTATCACTTGTTGTATATCTATATACTCCGGACTCTGGCGTCGGGGTCTTTGCCTCTCTGACCGTGACCAGACTGCTTACGCGTCTGCTTACGCAATGACAGCAACTGACAGGATAGTTCGCGTCTCTGCACAACACCTTTCCCCTCTCTCCAATCTCAGGCGCCGTCAGTCCTACAGGCAAACTCCTCATGTGGAGCGGCAACATCCCCGGCGGATGGACCCACAATTTCAACGATCCAAACGGAAATCGTACATACTACTCCGTCTTCAGCGTGGATGAGTTCCTTGCGAGGAGACCCATCGCCCTCCAAGCTGCCTTCACGACAGAGATGTTCTGTCCTGGGACGAGTAACCTCCCCAATGGAGAAATTCTCGTCAACGGAGGTTCAGGACCTTTCGCCACTATCGTGTTCGACCCGCGGACCAAGAAGTTCAGGAACACCCCCATGATGAAGATTGCGAGAGGCTACCAGGCTAATGTCGTCACGACCGGGGATAAAGGGTTTACCGTCGGGGGTTCGTTTCCAAGGTTGTGCGGAAATATTCGTGGTAGACTCGTGTGTTGATGTCGCTATCCTTCACTTTGATCTTTGATGTAATGAGATGGATGGTACATAAATGTTGGCGCTTGCGGAAGAACCCCAAGCCGATGTATTTCGCACCTGGAACCATCCACGATAATGACCATTGATGAGTTTCCACAGCGTCCGTAAGGTCATCTAGGAGCCGCTTGTAGGCATCCGAATGCTCAGTCTCGAAGGACTACAAATACTTGGGGTCGTATCTATTGGTGGAATTGAATGTAGCCATGATTATAAATTGGGTGAACATAATAAAAGTACGCTTGGTAACGCGGTTCAAGGAATACATTATGGCATCCGTTGATGCCCAACTGCGTCTTCTCTACTACAACCCTGCAACTGGTTACACTTCAGCAGAGCGACTCTTCCTTCGAGCTCAAGCTAAAGGCATATCATTGTCTCGCGCTGACACACACCGTTTTGTGGCTGCACAGCAAGTCGCTCAGCTTCATCAACTACCATCTCGAACCACGGAACACCTTCACATAGTGAGCCCCTCCCTCAATGCTCGGTGGCAGGCTGATCTCATCGACTTCCCCAAGTTAGCAAAGGAGAATAACGGGTTCCGATACATCCTGACTATCATTGATATCTACTCTCGCTTCGCATATTGCATCCCACTCAGGAGAAAAGATGGTTCCACGGTGGCGGCGGCGTTGAACGAGTTGTTCTCATCCGGGAAAAGGCCCACTGAATCATTCGCATCCGATGCTGGTAGCGAGTTCAAGAATGTACATGTGGCTGCAATACTACAAGAGATAAAGGTTCAGCAGTACACAGCGCAGGCTGGGGACCATGACCGTCTCGGCATCATAGAATGGTTCAATAGAACAATAAAGACCTACCTGGCACGATACTTCACCGCAACTGGACAGAAGGCATACCTCAACGCTCTACCGCAGTTCACAGCGAACTACAACAATCAGGTGCATAGCGTACTTGGCAAAGCGCCCGCTAGGGTCAAGGATGGTGACATACCGGATAGTTTGGAGCAGAACGTTAAGGCACTTGATGATCTAGAAGGGTTCAACATTGGGGACAACGTGAGGATCAAGGAAGATTGCAATGTATTCAAGAAAGGTTACAGTCAACAGTTCAGCAAACTGATCTACATAATTGGTGGCCGGGACGGGTATGGGTTTCGACTGTTCGATACAAAAGGGGTCGCGCAGAAGCGATCGTACAAAGCCCGAGACTTGTTGAAGATCGATGATGCACAAAAGGCTTCTGGGGGTGAACGAGAGATTGCTAGACTACGAGGTGCAGACGTGGTTCTGCCTGATGCTGGCGCGAAGAGGAAACGGAAGCCTAAGCAGATTTTGGATGCCTGATTGTTTAGCCTCCGCTGCTTAAGGGGGAGAGGTCTTGGCGGCGATTGCTTGTTTGATTTGACTGAAGATGTCTCGTAAACGCTCGGGGCTGCAGCTCTCCACCGTTGAGTTCAATATTGGAGTGTGCCAAGCTGTGGTGAACACAACCGAGTCGTTCACACGTTCGACAAAAATGATGTTGTCCGGGGGGCCATGGTGCTCGAAAAAAGGTGGTGCATCCGTAGTGTCGATGAGCTCTATATTCATGTCCGTCGCAACCTGCTCGGCTAGTTCCTTGAAGTCGATCGACTGCGACTTGGTCATGGTGGTTGATTTGGCGCGGTTAGAAACTCTGCGTATGAGGTTGAGACACAGAGTGAATGGTTTTGGTGTGGACCGCGACTCTGCGTATGAGGTTGAGACACAGAGTTCCTGGCATGCCCCCAAGGGCCTCTTCAGACCCTGCTTATATACTCCGCTTGTATTTTGATAATTTCAGTGCGACACAGAGTCGGTCTCGGTGCGGCACAGAGTCAGGATTCATATGTTTTGACACTTTTTGACACTTCCTGATGCGGAGACGTTGTCTTCCCCTCAATCAAGCCCCTTGGTGACTCACTCAGTCGGATTGGGCGCAAGGAGAGTAGTGAGAGATTGGGGTTCTTCAGTTCGCAATCTTTGCCACTGTTTCGCCCCTCTTTGAACCCTATTCAGACGTCCACCCACTGAGACGACTTTGGCGCGTTTCTGGGACCATATCCTGCTTATTGGACCGAGCCTGTGGCTTCGGATCTGGAACGGCTTTGTTGCGTTTCTGGGGGCTTTATCCTGCTTATTGGAGCGATTCCGGAAGTCTTGGGTCGGTACAGTTTGAAGCGACTTTGGGTCTGTTTCGAGGGTAAATGACTGTTTCTCAAAAGTGTGGTTATCTGGTGGCCAATATACTACTACTCAGGTCCTTCCACTTGTCACTCTCCTCACTCACTTTGAAGTTGCCAATTTCTGTAGTCCTCATCGTCATACCCGCTCAACGTACATACAATATACAGTGCAGCCTCGGACAATGTGCGGACGCACCGCCTTGGCGCTGGTAAACACATCTGATAGCCTAATTGCAAGACTTTTGAGCTCAACTATTACTTAGGATCCAACTGATATACAAAGCCGCACAGGGGCCGTGCGTTGGTCCAACCCCGACTCCTATCGGTCTTCTCGCAACGTCGCGCCTACCCGTTATCAACCCGTTTTACGAAAAGATACAGAGAATGGGGGCCAGAGGTACCTGCAGTGCATGAAGTGGGGCCTAATCCCCTCGTGGACGAAACAACTCCCGACGTACGCCAACGCCTTGCAAACGATCAATGCGCGGGACGACCGCCTCAAAGAAGGAAAATCTATGTGGTCAGGGATGAAGCACAGTAAACGATGCGTCGTAATTGCAGAAGGATTTTTTGAATGGGTGAAGAAGGGCAAAGAGAGGCAGCCGTATTACGTGCAATGGGAAGATAAGCGGCTGATGTATTTCGCGGGACTATGGGATCGGGCGACCATTGACGGTGAGCTGCGAACTCTCCCGGTCTGCTTCGAAATGGTGTTGTAATGGAATACCCACAGGGCAACACATTGAGAGTTACACAATCATCACGACTTCCTCCAGTAACGCGCTATCGTGGTTGCATGACAGGATGCCCGCGATTCTGCGGTCCGAGGAGGAGGTCGATAAATGGCTTGATCCGAACACGAAGTTTACGGACGACATTGCTCGTCTCATTCGGCCGACAGAGGAAGGGCTTTCCTGGTACGTCAGGATGAGAGGAGTCATATGGGACACCGTTCCTTAACGATTCGGGGATGGCCGGCGCGTCCCCGACGAAATGTGTACCTACGCATTGCTCATGGACACTGAATGTCACCTCCAGGTATCCCGTGTCAAAGTTTGTGAGCAAAACAGGCAATGACTCCGTTGAATGCGTGACGCCAATCGAACTCAAACCGGAACCTCCGACGAAGCCGAACGGGAACATTATGAACTTCTTCAAGAAGGCTGCCCCAAAATCTACCGAGAAAACGAGCGAGAGGAGCGGAAAGAGTTCGTCACCTGCTCCCAAAGCGAGTCTGCAGAATTGGTTGAAGAAGGAGGATGGTTCGCCAACGAAGCGAAAGCGGGATGATGACCACCCAAGGGAAATACAACCCGAAGAGGATATGAAGGCGAAGGATGAAGAACCAGAGAGTAAGCGGAGCAAACGAGATGAAACGGTGGAAGAAGCCGGCGATGAGGTTTTCAAGGACGAGCAGCTGGATCTGTTAGAAAACGCCTGATAGTCCTAGCCACCGTGTAGGCTGATGTCAGGGGCGCTGTCAGTCCATCGCTCATCGATTGTAAATAGTAAAGCCACTATTAAACGTCTCTTCCTCTGGTCGCTTCTGAACCTAGTAAGTTTTGGCTGCCATGCCATACTGTTCCATTTGATCGCTCCACTGGGCTCCCCCCTTTGGGAAGAGCCAGCGAGCGACCTTCGCGGGCGAAACCGCGTATACGTATATTAACAACGATAATAAATACATATGATCCAGCACATCTTTGGACCCAACGACGCCGGATCGCGCACGGCGAGACCCGACTTCGGCGATATGGTAAGTGAGATGCATATGACGATATGTGAGATGATATGCGTTCGAGAAATGAGCCCCGTGCGCGGTCCGACCCAAAGATGGCGGCGATATGAGAGGTGAGATGCCAGGGCAAGTTGCCGAATACGCAGATGTGAAGTAGAGCGAAAATGAGATCTCATTGCCGCGACGCCGTCGGGGGAACAATTTTCGCCCCATGCTGTACTAGTCAGCCCTCCATGGATTTTGGGGAGAAATTTGTCCCCCGCACGTCAAACTGGGAAGTGAAAATCGGGTAGATATGAAGTAGATGTGAAGTAAGGCGAAGTGGCCGTAAAATAAGCCATCACAGAGGCACCACTTGAAGCACGACTCGGCTGAAGGCGCGTCCTGTACGTATAATATACTATACTCTACCCCTATCACAACTAGGAGCTCGCATCTTTCGGCACAACACCCTTCTGCACCCCCTTCTGCACCTCCTCCTACGCCGACATCTCTGCACCTTCCATCCCGGCATCTGCATCTTCCATCTCTAGCACTTCGTCACATCCATATACTGATGAGCATCACCATCGTGAAGAAACATGGCCAACACGATGCTCAGTGCAATGTTATGGTGGGCATTGAGGGCGGTCTGCGGATTGACCCATGATTCGGTAACCTTACCCACGGCACCACGGGCAATGGAATCAGCCATCATGCACACAAATGTACCGCAGTTCTGGTCATCGGTCTGTCGAGGCGTGAAGAGGGTGTCAACCGTTGGTGTCGGTGTGTGATTGAGCGGGGCTTCAGTGGGCGTAATGTACCAATCCCACAAGAGGGGGCCCATATTGGCCATCTTATCAACGTAGTCGTCGTCATTCGGGCGAGGCTTTGAGTCAAATAGAACAAGGGATACGTTTTCGTGTCTGGTTAATGGCAAACCAGGGGGGCCCGGGGGTTTTGCGGACTTGGGCGCCGGCACCGCAACGAGTATTGCAAACAGGACCCAGTGCAGATTATCTGGGTTTGTTGGGAATAGCAGTATGTTGTACTCTGCAACGTTGATCGACCGCTTAACATCAAACAAAAAAGGAAAGTTAGTTTAGTTAAGTACGGTACGGTTAAGTAACTTTTCTTACCGGAACAAGCCGAATAGGGAAATTGGATCTCCGTGCCATTTTGACGCTTTGGAGCCAAGTGGATCCAACGGCTAGCAGTGGCGGATAAATGGTTGGGTGCCGTGATGACCTTGCTTGTAACAACGCGCACCACCTATTTATCCAGAGACGAGCATCAGTGAGTGACAACAATGACACACTGACACACACTCGCACGGGAAAGCGAGAACGGACCTGTTGACAGCTTAATTGTTCAGCTACCTATGGGTTTTGACAATCCGCCAAATGGTAGCGGGTTCGATGATCGACGACCCTGCCGGTATCCTCAGGTCTCCTTCTCCTTCCTTTCTGCCCCAACCGAGAGCCCACTGGCCCACCGGCATATTTTTGCTCCTGATTACACGTTGAAGGAAGGTGAGGTGCTTTTCATCCACCTTTGGCCACGGCTCGCCTTTCCACATTGCCGGCGGCCGGTTCCACCAACGGTCAACGTCTATATTCATTGTGGAGGGGTCGGGGTTTAGCTCTTCATTGTTGACGCGCGCGTGCATAGGAGATTCAGTAGTGGCGGCTGCGACGGGTTCGACTGGTTCGATGTTGGGCTCTGCCAAAGAGAGCTGAGCTGCCAAAGAGAGCTGAGCTGTCAAGTCGTCTGGGCGTTTGGGGGGGCATGAAGCGGTTTCTATAGTATCCCTGATTAGTGGCCGAGGACAGACACACGGAGCATGAGGACAATGGCATGTAACTTACGTGCAAGTGTGCGAAAATGGGTCTCGATTCGCTGACAAACATTATCAGCTTTAGCCGACCCGTCACCAAGCATCGCACACAGCGTCGGAGATGTCCTTGTTGCTGTGGCACACTCCGTAGGGTGATCAAAGGTAAACAATCCGAATTCAATACTGGAATCGGCGTAAGTGAGGAGATGTTTCGCGGCGCTCAGTAATGTGTTGAGGGCATGGGCTGGTGTTGGAGTTGGAGTTGGGGACAATGGAATCCCTTCGATCGCCTCCTTCTCTCCCGCTCCGAGCTGTTCATATAGATGTTTTTTCGGGTGTTTACCCACCGGATACGGCTTGTGTTGGGGTGCGCAATTGTTGTGGCATATTCCTCCGCGGATTCGACGTTGAGATTGAAGCGTGAGATGATTCCGACTGCATCTTGCTTCAGAAGTGTATTAAAACGACTGAATCCGTGTACCGTTGTCGCCCGCTTTGTCCGTTTCCCCTCCCCTTCATGATCGTTTCGTCGCTTAGTCTGTAAAACAAGAGACCAGCGTGAGGATGTGCGTGAGGATGCGCAAGTGGGAATGTTCTGCAAGTGCAGGGGTCCTGGAGTCCCGGCACGACCTGCCAGCTACCTCTCCTCTCCTCCACCATCACTCCTCTCCTCCCCTTTCCGTCCAACCATCCTGTTTCCGTTCCATCTCCGGTTTGTCGCTTTGTCACAAAGCCTCCTCCTCAGTGATCACCCACCATATCTCATCTCCAGCTCGAACACAAATACTGCACATGTACGTCTATCGGTATCTGCATAAGCGGAAGAGGGGAGTTGAGTGCCCTACGTTGCAGGACTCGAGCCATGATTCGTTTTTTGGATGATGAGTATTTGTGAGAAATGAATTCTGGGGTAGTAGTGCCTACCCCCTACGTACCAGCCGTACCAAATGGCAAACCACGGCACTGAGAGCGTGAAGGCTGTAAGGACGAGCGTGGGTAAGGCCGAGCGTGAAGGCTGTAAGGCCGAGCGTGGGTAAGGCCGAGCGTGAAGGCTGTAAGGCCGAGCGTGGGCGTCAGGCCAAGCGTGAAGGCTGTAAGGCCGAGCGTGGGCGTAAGGCCGAGCGTGAAGGCAGCCCGACCGCAAGGCCCTAACACATCTCCTAACAGTGTTTTCTAACCGTTCACAAGGATACACTTTGCACTGGAGGCGTGAACCGGACTTTTTCTTCAGGGTCCTTTCGAACGGTTACAAAAGCAAGCCAGTGCCGACTTTCCCCTCGCAGGCATTACCTACAGTACTACCGACCGCCTCAACTTCAAGGTAACAGGATCCACATTCTCACTCCCAATCCCTACCCGATCCATGCCATGCCCGCTCACTCACACGCTCTCTCTCCCTCTCTCTTGCGCTCAATAACCTCGGGCATACCTCCACGCCGTGCATCCACACCTGGAAGGAAGGAACAGACGGTAACACTATAGGTGAGAATTAGAAGCCGCACACATTACCAAAACCGATCCCTTGAGGTGTAGCCTGGATTTGGGCACTCGCAGTACGCTCTCTTGACTTCCGCAATCGCTTGAGGTGTAACCTGGATTTGGGCACTCGCGGTACGCTCTCGTTGCTTTTTGGGAACCGCTTGAGGTGCAGCCTGGATTTGGGCACTCGCGTTGCCACCATTCTACCAAACCCACTCCCACTCCCATGCCCACGCTACCTGCCTATCTACTTCACCCCAACTAACTCACGTACTTCCCTCCCCTGACAAATCACCATGAGAGTGTCAAAGCCGCGGCGACGTTCCAAACCCTCCGAGACTGCCCGAAAGGCAGCAAACAGACTCAGGCGGAATGAAAACATGCGGAAGCTACTGAAGACGACGGGCGATGATCCTGAAGCTGGAGCCGAGCATAGAACTGTTGACCAGGGTTCGTTTCATTACGTATGCTGTCAGACCCGTCTCAACCAACTCGATTGACCAACTGTTGTATGGCCTTGTGCTACAGGTTCTGACGATGACCATGCGTACTTAATGCGGGCAACAAGAAAGACCGAGCAGCAAACCAGGCCGCATCTGTTATAATCTCGACGACGGAGGCGGAAGCGAAGTAGAGAAGACAGGGCGAGAGTGATAGGCGACAAGAGATTGTATTGGCGAAAAAAGAAACAAGGACTAGAAAAGGAGATGAGAAGAACTGGTGTTCATCTGCTGGGGAGGAAGGGAATGGACGAAGAGAGGCCGGCTATTTATAGATAGGCAACCCAGCAGATCAGAGAACAACAACAACAAGAGGGGACTGGGAGGGCGCCAGCTATGCTCCTAGAGCGTGCGTGGCGAGCGTAGAGAGCATTGCTACAGCTGCTGGCTATGGGGAAGTAGTGGGGGGTGTGGAGAAGCTGGGGGGATTGGCAAAATGAGAGGAGAGAGGAGGAGTGGCGATATTGCGGGAGGATTGGCAAAATAAGAGGAGAGAGGGGGAGTGGCATCGACATTGACATTGACACTGACATTGACACTGACATTGACTCTGACATTGGCGTTTGACATTTGGCGGTTGACATTGGCGGCTGTCAGTAGGTAAGCTTATGGTATGGGCGCGTCGTCCATAACAGCATCCGTTTGGAAAGCACCTTACCCACAAAGACTTCCTTGAGCAATATACTGGGGAAGTTGAGAACCGGTACACCCGTCTGTACGAGAACACCGTTGTTGTTGCCGACCGGGAAACGGATGAGGTAGTCTTTGTGGCAAGGCTTCATCCGTTTGCGGATATGTCAGCGGATGACAGGACGCGTTTTGAGGAGACTGCGCTCCACCTGGACCACCAGCGTCAGTTAGCTTACCCCGTGACGATAAACGGTGCACAGACGTCTGGTACCATGATCGGTGTTGGCTGGCGTGCGGGTACAGATCGTGGAAAAAGCATGGGGATCTACCAACCGCGAAAAAAGGATTCCGCATCTTAGGCCTTGGTATTGCATACCCGCCCGCATGAGCCCTGACACCTCGCTTGCCCGCTCGCATAGGCCCTGGTACCTCGTACCCGCCCGCATCATAGGTCCTGGTACTACGTACCCGCCCGCATCATAGGCCCTGGTACAATGTACCCGCCCGCATCATCGGCCTTGGTACTAGTGCCCGCCCGCATGAGTCCGTAATGGTAATGATCATTTCG